GCAGCGCTACGGCGTTTCTGCTTTTGACGCTGACAACTGACAACTTCACGCTTCAACTAACAAACGGACTTTTGCACTTTACTTGAGTACAAGCTGCTGATAGAGATGGGCACTTTATGCGAAAAAAAACTTAAAATTATGCGCTGAAATTTAGCTTGATTATGCGATAATTATGCTTTGGAAATATGGCAATTATGCGCCCATAAATCGCTAAAATAAGTACTTTTATGCGAAAAATGTGTGAAAAATGTTTAAAAATCACGCTCAAACTCTCGCACTGTGCGAAAAAGTTCAAAATTCAACATTTCTTTGGGAAAAATACGTTTATCCAGTTCTTTAACAAAAATTTCTTGAATAGGGTGATGGCTTTGACCCAGTGGAGCTAACGGGTGTACGAACCAAAATTTGGTGTACAGGCAAATTGCCTTTTCGCTTGCTGAAAAATCCTCCTTTGGGCAGCGCAAAGGAAGAAAAATCATTAATTTCGTCAACAGACCCACGTTTTTATTAAAAAATAGAGTTAAAACACGACAAAAGGTCCAAAATCTGGATAAATTTGCAGTAATTTCGCTATTTTTTTCGTGAAAAATGCGAATTATGCTCGTATAATGCGAAAAAAACGTTATGCGGGAAAAAATGCCAAATTATGCGAAATTATGCGAGCTGGAAATGCACTGTACTGTGGTCCATTAACATTAAAAAGTTGATACCTTTCCATTTTGAACGATTCTAAAACATTATGCAAAATATGTGATCGCATAAAGTGACCATCTCTAGCTGCTGATTACTACGTATCATCTGCTAAAAAGGGCCGCACTTAGTGTGTTAAATATACGTAAACTACGAAAACCAACCACACAGATGTACAAAAATAGAGTATTAAATCGAACATTTACCTTCTCATTTTGAGGGGCGGCGATGGCTACGCCAAGCTGTAACCAATAAAGAATGCATTTTGTATTGCAAACAAAGTTGATAAACGTTCGCAAGCTCCCAAAGAAATTAATGCGTTATAGAATGTTGGAATAACTACACATTTTAGTGAAGGGCTTCCACTTAGAAGAAGTAGGATCTCACTAAATGGTAGTTGTCACACTAACTTACACAAGCGAGCGCTACTGCCACGAAGAGAAGAGTAAGTTTGGATGCCATTGCTGCTATGAGGTGGTCAGCTCGGTTACTGGTGATTCGTTCGGCTCCGGCAAGCTGTTTTATACGAGTAGCGTGTGCCTTCTCAATGTTAACACCGCAATGCACATCATTTCACGGGGACATAATACCTAGAAAATTGCGGATTGACACAAGTGTTGAAGTGCTTTGCTTGAAAGCATTGCGCTTTCAGGGAACTGTTTGAACACAAGAGCGAGCGGTGAAAGCCACTTCAATGGGTCCAATTAACGTCATCTGATTTCCTCTTGACACGATCCGAGATATAGGGATTAGAATATTTGGCTTTGTGCCCCTCCTAATCTTTCGTGGGGTTAAGTTAGATGGATAAACTTTTGTAAGTTTTAAATCTGACTGTTTCTGACGCTGTTATCAGAACCCTGAGGAGCTTCGATGCTTATTTCAAGTACACTCTAACATCATAGGCGACCTGCCGTCGTCAACTTACAGTAAAAGTTTCACAATAACGAGCTCTATAGCACGTTATTGTAAGACTGTGATGGACATTAATATGGCTGCCAGCGCATACAAAACTGCTTCATGACGAAAGATTCATCAGTTACCGAGCAGACCGTTTCTTTTCAGCAATGGCTTCCAAATTTACTCTTCTCTTCGCAGCGGTAGCGGTCATATGTGTAAGTTATAGTGCGATCAGGCCACCCAGTGTTCAGAAAGGGATCCCTTATCCGAACTGACCTTATTCGTCTAGTAAATTGCTGCTAGCGAAACAACCGAATTTGTGTGCTCGCGTCGCTCAATTATATACCCCCCAGAGAGAAATAATTAGGAAAGCCGCTAAAGTCAAAGGTGGGGG